GAGTCTTGACTGTGCTGGCGCACACTGCGCCTTGAAGAGCATTCACCATTGTTTGTCCTTTCTTTGGTTGTTGGTCTTTAGACGCGTGGTTCCATATAAAAATCTTTACCTACTTTGGGATTCACCTCATCAGAATGGAACTGTTCTTGGCATGGTTTCGAATGAGACGTTTCTCTCTTTTCTCCCATATTCTCCTGTTACCCTTTCGCACTCGTCGCTTGCATTCGCCTTTTTTGTTTGTGACCATGCTCCTCAAAAACAAATGACAGTGACTTGTTAACCAAATAAACCTTTCCGGACAGAATTAAACGAATGAAGAGAGAGGAAATTATTGTGATTGGGAGATACTGTCACACGCGGTGGGTCAAAAGAAACGCTTTCTATTGGTCCGAGGAGGGGTAATTTTCAGGGTCGAGCATACAAGGTTACCAAACACACACAAACGCAAAAATGTGTGAATAAACTGTTGCATATCGGTCTCATGTCCACTTGCGTTCAAAGCTACTCTGCTGAGCAACGTTCTTTTCGGCCTGTTTTGACTCCTTGCATTTGAGTATCAACCAAAGACTCAGACAGATCTGAGCTGAATTCTCCATTCATAATCTCTTCTAGCTGAGCGGACGGCACTCTTTCTGTGGAGACACAAACATCACATATTACCCATGAGGTTGACGAAACCTCTTGGACAGCAATCTACCTCTTTCATACTGATTAGGGCTCAGCTGATGAGCGCCCAAAATATAGTGATCCGTACACGATTAGCTTCACGTGAAGGACAATATCAGACTCACTTACCCTCGTCCTATGATCTGTCTGTCTTTAGAGCATGACTAAATCCAGACGTGCTTACTCTGTTTACGCTTCTAGAAACGTAATCCACACTGACAGAAAAAGCCGGTCATGAGTTTGCTGGAATTCTTTTCTAAACCTCGGTTTAACTACTCATGATATTAAACTAAAACGAGAGCTTGATAAGCCGGAGTCCCGTAAAGAACCACATTTTAGTGAAACAGCAAAGTAAACTCCTATTAGGAGCACCAGCTCCGAACGTAACGGGACTATATAACAGCCATTAGAATAACCTTTTTCGTTGAGACCTATTTCATTGGGTGTTCTTCACTCGTCCTTGACAGATGAGTTGTATTCTTAGTATCATATTTTGACCCGCTTGTACGCGACAGTGGTCAATAGGACGGCTGACTCGCACGTTCGTTGACTTTTCTGGTTTGGCCAAGCGCACCAGGCGATCAAGCGACTATCCAGACCGGGGTATACGGTAATAGGAAGGCATTAAGGGACTGTGGTCCACAGCAACTCCTTACCATAATATGTGACATGGGAAAATATTTCCGGTATATATCAGGTTATTTTATTGAACTTGTCTCTCTTTAGTGGTCCACAATTGGTGCCACTATCCTTGACAGAATAAGTTGTATAAACATCTTTCCCGTAACTCACTGTCGGTGAGATGAACGCCATTTAAACAAGGCGACAACACCGTTTCCCAAATTCCGTTGAAAGTAACAATGTGTTTGAGTACAGAGTGCTTTGTTGAGCCACAGGGCTATCAAACGGCCTAAAAGCTTGGTAATTGATCAGGTGGCTGTTGATCTGTTTGCCGAGCTTGGCAATTGATTTGCCAACGTTTCGTCACCATTCAAGGAGACCAATCGAGGTCGCAGTCTGAAAGCTCCTTTACACAGGGGTTTTGAAATGTCGACATCCTCGATCGGAATCTAGGTAGCTCCCATGCGCTGCGCCGTTGTTGGTGTATTTACTCAGTTTGGCAATTGGATTGCAAACGTTTCATCACCAATCGAGGTGACACTGTCGGTGCGGGATTGAGCGAGTCATTGTCTAAATATTGAACAATTATAAACAAATATTCCAAAACGGTTCAGTAATTTCCAAATCGACATCCTTTCGGCAATGTGGACGTCCCTTTAATACAAGCAGATGCTACTCGCATGTTTCATAACTAGTGTGCATATTATTGGACACATTTACCAATTTACCCGCCCATCAAGCAGATGTCCACGTTTTTGTCCAAATTGTCCTGTGCAAGTGATACTGATGCAAGAAATTAAATAAATTACCAAACGTAGCACACTACCTACCTCTTGGACTGTCCATGACAGAATTCGTCATTTTTGGGGCTCATTAGGCAGGAGCGAACCCCGAGTTTCCCTAAAACTCACGTTTTGTTTGAACCCAAATTGCACACATTTAGACAAATAGTTTCATTTTTACACGAATTTGGTTTTGACCAGAGACTCAACGGAGTCCAACTGAATCTTTCATCTATGGCGGTCGCTCTCATCAAAAGTGCTTCACCAGGTCGTTTCGTCTTTCAGTTGATAGACTATTCGACAAATTTCTGTTTTTTCATCATTTCCGAAATTGAGTAGTGCATAGGTCACGTGGTAAAACAAAAAAGTTCTTCTGAAGTTTTGTACTGCAGATCCTCAACCACGACATGTGGGGCAGTTTAAGTTACCAATAGTACATTTAAGGTGTTGATGATTGCGGCATTTCAAGGATACATACTCACATGAGTCTTGTTTGAACAGTCGTCCTCCTCTCCTGGTGCAATCATTCTGGTGAGTCCACACCAAAGGCTGTGAGGAAAAGCACTCAACTCGAGTTTCGCTCTTGTTAGAGCTGAGCATATTCAATTGGCGTGCCTGGGTGTGAACCCCGCACATCTGATGCGAGAGGCTGTGTGTTATCACTACTCCACCAGCACACACCGAACTCATCCGAATTTTACTTCAGAACAGGTGAACTTGTTCGCGCTTGTGTGATGTGAGCGGAACGCCCTACGCGTCGAACAACGACTCAGTGGCCTACCTTGATTATGTCGACCGATTGGTCCACAAGGCATGACTTCCCAGTCGGGTATCTCCAGAGACGCTTGAAACCTGCTGTGCGCATTTCGTTTCAGGTGTTCTTGGTTACGGGAGCTCTAGGTCTCTGAAGCTCTGAGCAACTGCTCGTCTTGTTATGGTCAATATCTGTCGATTATAGTCAATGTCTGCATAGCAATGCTCGCTCTACCCTAAGTGACAAGGTAACTTTAGTTAGGTGACTGGGCTAGAGTCTAGGCCACTCTACTCCACACTTACAGACAATGTTTCAAAGGTATCACAGTTGTCGAACGGACGACAGCGGTGGCATGACAGCCACAGATAAACTCCAGGCAAGCGCCTCAATATGCATGCGGTGTTGCTATGATACAGCTGTTGTCGTGATGGGACAGACCAGCGTGAGGGAACAAACACTTTCTGGACAATGAATGACGGATATCCAAGAAGTGATAGCTTAGTGATAAGTTGTAAATCAGGAACGTCTAAAAATTCCCTCATTTGTTAAAAAAAATCAAGGATTCAGCAAGTGAGCGGGGTGACAAAGCGTAGGGTTCCATCATGAAACTGTAAGGTTTGTTATCGAGCACTTGAAAGAGATTGTGGAAGCCATTGCTGAAGTTATGTGAGTTGGAATTTTTGTTTACCGTGAATAAAACTTTTCTCTTCACCATGGGCTGTCTCCTTACCAGGCCTTTCCCGCAATAAATTAATCCTATGCTGGAAGGCCCAAAGAAATTACGCAACCGTTTTTTGCTTCTCGTGATCAACCATCAATGCGTAGTTGGCCAAGCTCCACAAAAGTTCGAACATACAAACTACCGCACAGCTTTTTCAATATAACTCTCACCCCAAAATTGAATTCACCGTGTGATGAAAGTTGAGGAACACCATGCAGGTGGTATATGCTTCTTTTGAAGTCACCAGCAGTGTTCATCTCCACAACTGTTCTGAAAGTTTCTCAACCAGCAAACTTCCGGCTATTAACTGAGCCCTTTATGAATCTGCTACAGTGTAACGCAATCGGACAGCAGTTTGAAAAAGCGAAGCTTGAACACATCGTGATCTGAGACTCATTGGACCGTCCCATGAGACAACTCACAAAAAAATGGGCTAAATATCTTATTTGCAAGCAACCTGCTTATACATTCATCCCTCTGCAGTCAGTTAGTAGATGGGTCCGTAAGTTGAACCAGTCCTGGTGATACAGGTAAATCATTTATTCGACTTTAGAGACAAAGCGTTGCCAATCTCTTGGAGGTAAGTTCGCCATGACTGCCACCACCAAGAGTTTAGCAACTTATTCTTTAGTCATCGAGATAGGAATTTCGCCGTCGCCGCACCAGCTGAGTGGTGAACACTTTCCTCCGAAGCTATCCATCTTATTTATTTTCACTCATAAGTAATACTGAAAAACCTTGACATTTCGCTTAGTTTTTAGCCATCATTTAGGACCGACAATACTTCCTCCCAAGCGCTTCGTATCGCAGCGTCTCGCTATTACTAAAAGTTATAGACATTCCGTAAGAATCAATTGGATTTTTTCCACCGAGGGCATTTGAGGTGTCGACATCTCTGCGCCGTTGAACTTGTTCCTCATAGCCACGCCTCAAGCACGGTATTCCACGGAGTAACCATGTAAAAACCTGTTGCATCTGCTAAACTCAACCGATTTCTCCGGTAGAATTTCAAGCGTAAGCAAACTACTGAGCAATGTCACCCCTTAATTGAGGCGATATTACGGACTGTCATTACAACCAAACATTACACGTCTGGATGGATTGTCAGCAGGAGCAAGTTTCCGGCTATGTACTGACAAGCAGCGCGAGAAACGGGCAGCCAGAAAACATCAGTCCTGGCAACTGAGATAAAAAGATATGCTCACAAAATGGCACAGAGCTGGTGATGTCTGGAAAATCGACTTCGATTTTATGTATTCCTAAGAGTTTCTAGGACGCAATATATACCCACGTCTCACTCACAGAGAAACTCTATTTAGGCGCGTGAAAAGATTATATGAGTTGGGGGACAGAATAGTCGCTAACTATGGGAAAAGAGTGCCATTCTAATTGATCGGAGGAATTCGTAAACGTTGGGGAAACATTAAGCTATACAAAGGCTAGATTCTGAATGGACTGAGCGATACTCATCCTTTCGGATAGCCAAGTCCCGAGTCACTTTAGGTGAAACTCTGTAGCCTCGTATAAAAATGATATAGATAAAAGGCAGTTATTTGGAACAGTTAAAATGTACTTTGACGCGCCTAAAAACTATTAGGAGAACCAGCTCTGAACGTAACGAGACTACATAACAACCAATGGAATAACCATTTTCGTTGAGGCGGATTTCATTGGTTGTTCTTCACTCGTCCTTGATGGATGAGTTGTATTCTCAGTATCAGTTTTTCGACCTGCCTGTACGCGACAGTGATTAATAGATCAGCCGGTTCGCGGGTTCATTGACTCTTCTGGTTTGGTCAAGCGCACCAGGCGATCAGGGGGCTATCTAGACCGGGGTTCACGGTACTGAGAAGGCATTAATTAGACTGTGGTCCACAACAGAAACCATACGCCAAAAATATCCATATGCGTTAAGTTCTCCTGGGGTAAGGACAAATTTGAACACGTAAACTAGTTTCTTATAGATGGCTTGTAAGAGCCAGTTGGCGTATGAAAACGAACGTCTTGGTGCGGGCGGAATAGGGTTGAAGCAGTGAAACGCATGACCAAGTGGTTGCTTTCAGTCATGTTGCATTCCCGCCGTCGTGTACGTGCTTGCGTTTGTCCAAAAGCCTCTTCTGAGCTTCTAGGGAGTTTAACCCACGAAGGGAAAGCCTATTATTTGAGGGAGTGTGGTTTACGGTCCACTGAAGACACTTACAAGTGTAAATCAGGTTTTTAATTCCTTAGTTATTTATTTATGCATTTATTGTTACTTAATTACCCCCTTTGGCCTCCATGCAAAGAAGATACGACGAGAAAATGAACATAGCTTGGCACACAGTGAATTTGCAAGGCCTCTAGAATCAAAGTAGTTTACAATCTCCCCAAAAGTGCATTAAAGTACCTGGTTATCCACACAAGCACATTCATAAAACTACTGCGAGTCCAAACATCGGCAGCTTCTGTTTCTGACTTTTACACTGCAAAGTACATCAGTATTTACGCAAGCATAGAATGAACGAAAACGCATGTAAGACCATGGAGAATCAAAACAGATTCGTTTGTCTGGTTCGTGATAGACAAAAATGAAAGTGGCCTTGTTGGTGATTTTCCACCAGAGAGAAGTTAGACAACTGGAGACGAGAAGACCTCCCCCGTGTTGTATGGTGCACCCAATCTCATCTTGGTCACAGATATTGTGGGATGGTCCCCGTATTCTTGAGAGACTGGTACAACTTAAATTGCTACCGTGTTGTACACGCAATCTCATCTTGGTCACAGATATTGTGGGATGGTCCCCGTATTCTTGAGAGACTGGTACACCTTAAATTGCTACATTACACACCCAATAAGCTACTTCACTGCTCGATACGTCACCACAAATACTAGCCTTATGGTTCAACAGCATATCTTGGCTTGGGCGTCCTCATACCTACACAAAACTTGGAGGCTCAACGCTGCCTAAATACCAGTTTAAAGGTTCTTTGTTAGCAAGCACCAACCAAACAGTGAATAATCATTGACTATCGCGCAACTGTAAACAAACGCTTCAAAACGGTTTCACAAGTTCTGTAATGAACTCCACCTTCCATTAGACACGAGGCAGAGTTACAAGAGAACCACATACTACTCATATGGCTCATCAGTAGTGTCCGCCGTTACACCAGTTGCCGGATATTGACAAAGTGTCTGGTTACTTGATTCACACATCAAAGTCCACAGAGATCGTAGGTGATATTTTATCACTGCATCGTCATCAAAGAGATTCACACCGGCTGTCAATCAAACTCCCTACTCAGTTAAGGTTGACTACACCCTTTAGTCGAACATATCTTGGAATCTAATCAGGTAATGAAAGAGCTACATTCACATACTTGTATGTATGCGAATAAATCTCTGCCTGAATGTGTACTTCGAGTGAAACCTTCCAAAATTCTCAAAGTTTGGTTGCTGAAGACAACCGTTCACTTGTTGGCCCCGGATACAACACTAGGCCGCTAATCTGATGAGTAAGAAAGTGGATACACCAATAGATTTAGGCCAAACTGATCCTAAGCATTCTACAGAACAACTCGCCTCTGTCTAACTTGCCAGTTTTTTTCTGGCGTCGTAAAGTCGCCAGACTTTTGAAGTGTACGGCTTAAAGCAACGAAATTCAGCCAGATCGATCGTTACAACTTTTAGGTCAAAAAATCTGCCTCAACGAAAACGGTTATTTTATTGGCTGTTATATAGTCCCGTTACATTCGGAGCTGGTTCTCCTAATACACAAAAGTACCATTCACGCTGAAATACTGCGTCACTAGACAGATGGAAAGCGTGAAAAGTCTTAGCGTTTCAAGTGTATCCGGTAGTACTATGGAAACCTCAGTGTCCAGACATAGCGGAATAAGACTTTATAATCCAAAGTTTCGGTTTCCAGGATTCTTACATTAAACTAAAAACGGGCCAGGCGCAGCCTTCTTTTGGTCCGCTATCGCCTATTGTGACTGGTGTGTTCTTTAAATCAGCTGGCAGTCAGATGCGACCAGCTTGCATGGATGTGTTAGCTCCAGGCGCATTTACGCGGGAATGTGCCTCATCAATATCGGCAAAAATGCTCTCCTTCAGATGAGGGAGGCTTTCTACAGTGGAGCAGAAATCTGTCACTCCGACATTGTCAACACAAAGACAAACGGCTTTAAGGCACTGTTCCACGATGGCAGGATTATCGAGCAGAAAGCCTGTCTAAGACGCCTCTTGTTGGCTGGCTTTAGCGGTTCAGAGTATTTTTAGCTGGAAGATACATTGAACTAACGTAGGCTGATACCTCAGCTGACCACCGTAAATGAAGTTCCACGTCATTAACTTGGAAAACATCCCCACCGAAGCAGTTAAGCTTTCACAACAACCGAGATGCTGATGCCAGCGTGTGATGAGGCTGTTTAACTCGTTTTGTATGCAACTTATGCTGCATTATCTGTTTAGAACTGCGATGGACTCGCTTTGCATCTTTCCACTGAATGAGGCAATCATGATGCTCACCGGAACACTGTGGACTTACCAGCTTCAAATCGCACCACAGCATACAGAAGGTCACTTTTCTCCCCATTCCAACAGAAAGGGTTGGTGTACACTTGCAGGGCCTTACGAGGGTTTCGCTTGCAGGAACGTAAAGCAATGTACCGCTGTCACACTTTCAGATACCAGTGTTCGTCCGGTTCTCTTCAGTTCCGGTAAAATGGGATGAAATTGGTTGAAAGTGTTTGCGATTGCATGAAGGAGCAAGGGCAAAACTTTCCTGTGATCTTTTCACTTACTTGTAAGCACTTTTCGTGGTCACATGAGCAATAAGCGACCAGATGTGACAACGGTACCTGGATTGTCTTTCAGTTGGACTAAGTGGTCGGAGCCAGTCACTAAAGCTCGACCCCGACAAATGCGATCTTAGCAATACTTCACACCAAAAATAGATGAAATATTTCACAAACGCATTCTTGTTTTGACAGTAAATTTACCTAGCGGGGCACTTTGGGCTACAATAAAGGACATAACTGTTGGCAGTTCAAACACTTTCTCTTCATTTGGGCACAAAAAATGTATACACGGTCACCTTTATCATGCATAAAGACAATATCTGTCAGATGAAGTCATCAACAAACGATTCAGTCGATGCTTATCTGAGTCCTCTATTGATACCATGCTTATTTTCAATTAGCTCTACTCACTTATGCTCTACTTACGTGCATCTTGTCGTTTAAGAGAGAAATATGGTAGATGGGAACTTGAGAACAAAGCCTAACTGACGAGTCTCAGAAGTTGAAAAGGCGGTAGTGGTCGACGAGCTTTCAGAAACCATATGAGTAGTAGTTTGTACCATTTTCAATTAAGGTTTCGTCGTATCAGTCAGGCTGAAAAGCCGCAAAGCAGTGCACAGCTGTTTCATCCTTCTGGAAATTATCAGCAGCGCGCACCTCACGAAACTCCCAGAGTTTCGAAACCGTGACCTTCAGACCAGTGACAGTAGATTTAACCGTTCATCAACTGAACAGTGATATGATTGACAGCATATAGCGAAGCTCGTTCTTCAAACAGAGACTTAACCGTTCGGTATCGACCAACTGAACAGTGATGTGACTGACAGGATATAGCGAAGCTCGTTCTTCAAACAGAGAAACTACATCGCCTTGGCTGGTTCCTCGAGTGGCATACTTTCGGAAGGAAACTGTTCTCCATCTGAACCACTCATGGACTGGTCGTAATGTGAAAAGATTTCGCAATTTTAAATCAAGACTTTAGCCTGCTTAGATGCTTGATGCCGAACACTTGAGTGATCAACCGCTGAATAGAAGGTGGCGAGTTGGAGACTTTCTGCCTTTTGTGGGGTAAGCACCGTTGGTGATTTCCACTGAGGATGAAACACCTGTGCGGTGATTTTCAGCCATCCGGCAAAGAGTGGCTTCATTGACAGAGCGAAATCTCAGTTGAAAATAAAATCTCCTCACACTACTTAAATATCATGAATATCATCTCAAGCGATACGAGAAGCTGCTGTCATCCAAAAATTCAGTCGGAGAGTATAAACAAGATACTTACCTTTCTCATGGAGGAGACTACTCACAAGGTTGCTGAAATCTCTTCGACAGCCCTTCGCCCTTCTTGGGGGTCATCAGACAGGCACAAACCTCGAGTTGCCGTCAACCTTATGTTCTACTTGAAACCAATTTGGACTGATTGCGACAAATACACTCATTTTCAAATCAATCGGTTTTCACGAGGAACTCGAGTGAAACTCTTATTTATGGTATTCTTCAACCGAATGTGATGCACACAGATCGACTCATGTTTCAGATATTGCGGTATATTTTCATAGAAGAAACTACTCACAAGGTTACTGGAAACACTTCAACAACCCACGACCGGTTTTACCGATGTGTTCGCCCGACTTTGTCAGTTGACTGAGACCCTGCATAGAATGACGGAGCTGATTTACGTCATTAATATCAATACAGAACTCTCCAGTTCACACCAGCTCAATGGGCAAATGACTGTTCAACTACCGAAAATTACGCCTGTTTAAATGATTAAATCAACTACTGTCTGTGAGGAATACCTGCACTTTGGGAATGCTCCAGGGTTATTATCGCACCGCCATCTGAAACCTTTCCGTATGGGTAGAACGGTCATGTAGTCTGAATGAAAAGAGAACTTGGAAACACCCGAAATCTTGAAAAACTGCTCCGTTTTAGCCAGTAGATGCCAATGACCTGAAAAATCACCTGAGGGTAATTTGCTGCTTGTTGTCTGAGGAGCGCGTAACTTTTTTGGCTTCTTTCACGTGCAGTTGGCCAAAAGTCCAGTGAATCCTGGGCTGAGTGAGTGAACTCTCTCACTGAGATCCAATCAAAGGTTGCCTATTTGCGTAACGTGTAAAACCGGTCGTCTTACATTTCAAGCTGCGTGTAAGCTTTTGCTCGCTGCATTTTATCAGAAAAATTCACTCAGGGATTTTGTGTGTACTCATTGTGAGACATTCCCACTATTGCTTAGATATCAACGCCCGGGCTGCTGTATGCACGTTCTTCACAAAGACAAGTTTTTGCCTTCAGGAAATGAATATGTTGATATGATGTGGTCAAATCAAGGCAACGGCGGTGAAGAGACACTTGGCTGTCAACTGAAAAATGTTTGGGACGGACTGGGTATTCATCGTTTCAGAGAAGTCCGGAAAACAATCGGTGGATTTAGTGCTGAGCCATGTTTTGATTTTAACACAAAAGTTTCGTCAGACTAAGTGAGTAAGTAAGCAGATTGATTGGATTCCGAGGTAGCCTAGCCGACTTATTCA